GAACGGCCGTAAGCGTCGTAAATTTGCTGATTTTACCTTGGAATGACTTGAAAACGATAACGACTTCTTTAAGAAAAGCATCCGATGAGGCTCACTGTCATCTGACTGGTGCGATTAATAAGAAAAACTGTAGATTCCGGTGCGAAGAAAATCCACAAATTATTTTTGAACAACCATTACATTCACCTAAATTGATAGTTTGGTGTGGTTTTTGTTGTGGTCGAAATATCACTTAGTACTTCTTTCGAAATGAAGCTGGTGACAGCGTTGTTGTCAATGGAGAGCTGTTCCAGATCCAGGCTAACCAATCTTTTATGGCCGCAGTTGGAAGAAGTTGATCTTGACAACATCTCGTTTCAGCAAGACGGGGCTACGTGCCACACAGCATGCGCAACAATCGAACTATTGTGAGAAAAGTTTGGAGATTCGATGACTTTAAGAAATTGTGTCATTGAATGGCCTCCAAGCAGTTTTAATTTAACACCATTAGACTACTTCATGAGGAGTTATTTGAAGTCATTGGCCTTTAGCAAGAAACTCGAATCTCGGCAAGCTTTAGAAGTCAATATTGAATGTGCTATGCATGATATACAACTTGATTTAGAGAAAGGAGCTCGAAATTAGGTTCATCGAATTCAAATTTCCAAAAGAAGTAAGTCAAGGTGGTCGTTTGCATGATGTTATATTCAGTACTTGATCGTATCGCTTGTACTTCAAATTGAATAAGAAGCTTTTGAATTTCCTTAACGATTAGTATGTTTTTTGAAGAGAAAACATAACACTCGTCATGTGAAAACAGTAAGTGCGAATGAAATTTAAAACAATTTTCAAAGCTAAAACTATTCGAGCAATTCGAGCTGCACCGCACGTACGGCACGCGCTTGGTAAGCCATTGTTGAACACTAAAAATATGGTTTCATAAAGAATCACATAATGGGTGTGCAAGTAGACATTTGAAGATTGTAGTTTTGTGGCTAACGTACGGTAGGTAGATGGTTGAAAAGCCACTTCTAGTAAAATATAAAACAGTGAATGTGTTTTTAAGTCAAACCTTCAAGTAAATGCCTAAAATGTTAAAGTCTTGCAAACTAATTGAACAGTCATGCGGTGATCAGGCATTTTAGACTAATTCCGACAGCCGTGTGAGGTGTTCGGCCAAACAACTGCAAATACATATATATGTAAATATATTATAAAATTTATGGCAACAATAAATTATTATTCTCGATGAGGTCACGCATTCATGCTACAATGCTTTTAAACGTATTATTTTCTTTTCGCAAACGCACACAAAGCGACAAACGCTTTCGCACACACTTTCACTCTTCGTTTGAAGCAATTTAAGTTCTTGTTTGTTTAGCTAATGCAGCCGTCTTCCCATCACCAGCATTTACAATCTCGGAAATAATTGAATAGCTTATACAGAGCAAACGAACAATTGAAGTAAACAGTTGACGAATATATAGAAACCGAAGACAATTTCATTTCAGTGTATCTTGGCAATGACGTACGTGCAAATAAAAATATTTCGCACAAAGCGGTGTGCACACATCAATCAACAAAAACCCGTGAATGAGCAAGTCAAAGAAGACGTGGCAAAATTGTTTCGCAGTTCCGCTAAATGGTCAGGCATCCCTTGCCGGAGAGAAGATTCCAACAAAAATCACAGCTCTAATTCAGTTAAACAAGCAACGTCACACACACACATATCAATTCACACATCATACATTGCTCTACCACAATCTAACCCTTACTTGTAATGTTGCGGTCGTTGACGCCGCCAGCGTTGCCGCCTATGCCTTTGCCTCGACTCACTTCACGTTTACAGTTAACTCCACACCACTCGCGATTTGTCTTAATATCGTGTGGCGCCAAAGGCTGACAAATGTCTTGTGGCGTCTTTAGTGGATGGACATGGTAAGCAAAGAAATCGCGCGTTCTCACGCTTCGCACGGCACGCGGTACGACATTGCGTATGAGTGATGTGCCAAAATTCGTTGCATTTTCTTTTACTGCTTTTATTATTGTTTATATATTATATTATTATAGTGAAATATCACTTCCGTACCAATGTACAAAAATTACACGCGTGCGAATATCGCTACTGTTTATCGCCTCAGGTATGGTTATCTTTTATTTGGCGCAATTTGTTTGGCTGATGTTCGGCTTAGTAAAACACCTACACGTACTTTGTTCAATCACACAGAAGCGTAGAAACTTTGTCGTTCTAGTCAGGGCGCGTAAAACGTCAAGCACTTCCAGTATATTCAATTGTCTGTCTTCGACTGATTTGCTATGCACTCGACACAGCAGCACAAGGATGCTGCGTAGCAAACGAGCTCGCCACCGAAGCGGCAAATTGATGGCGCCAAAATGCCATCAACTGGGCTTTATGAATGAAAGCTTTACTCGAGTATACGAATAATTTGCTTTGTCTGTATTAAACGTGAGCTTTTACTACGTAAAGCTAATGATAGTCAGAAAAGAATTGCTGGCACGAAATTGTTTGTATCCCATACAAGGGAAGCTGGGGTTAGCGACACCTGAATGCTTTGTGTATATACATAGGTATGCATTTGTTGTGGTTACAATAAAGAAATCGGCATAATGTAATTCAGTCATAAATTATAATATTAGAAAGTCAACAACACATTGGAGCTGATGTATTTAACTGGTCATTGAAATTTTATAGCTGGCTTATGATTACTGCAACATAAGCTTATCTGTTTAAGGAAAGTTGAACTTGTACGGTCGTGAAACATTACAATTTGAACTTAACTCTACGAATATTTACCTCCTAATGCGTCAATTTGTGAGGAAGCTCGAGAGATAACTTCGATAAATAACATTATTAGGAGTTTTGGCTGGTATACTATATTAATTTAGATAATATTTTATGCATCAATTAAATTTCTCCCGGTAAATACTGCCAAAAGCCGAATTAATAACAAACAATGTACGGTACTCAGTGTCTTCTGTTATAGTTGAAAAGTTATATTTCTTAGCGCCATCTATCTGTCAATTACACTATCCATCAGAAAAATGTACACTGAATTGACGTTGTTCATTCAGAGAACTTAAAGATACGTATATATATATGTTTATAAATTCTCTGGTTCATTAGTCGGGGCTGCCGATATCGGACCGCTATAGCATATGTGTATGTATGTAGCTGCCTTACAAACTGATCGATCAAAATCAATTCTTGTAAGGAAAACTGCTTCCTTCACAAGCTATATGTATATCTTTGAAATTTGGCATGGATTATTGTCCAAGTCATGCACAATGTTCGAATTGTTCAGATCGGAACACTATAGAATTAGCTGTCATAGAAACTAATACTTTAATACAATCGAATTCCACAATTTTTCTGCTTCCACATACCTATACAATTGTTCCCGATCGTCACATTTCAAAATACAATTCCGCTAACTAAATCTGTAAAAAGTATTTTATTTAAACTAATATTTTGTTTATAAGCACTTTTAAAGATCAACAAATTACATATTTTATATCATTTACACTTTACTTTACACAATTTATAACATCTTTCAGCAATTTAAAATAATTTGGATTTTAATAAAAAATAGAGTACACACGTTACTTGATTGGCCGTAATTATTTAGTAACTACCCACCAAAGGTTATGCGTTCAAGAACTTGGCATGATGATCAAAATGTTCAGCAATGAAAGTAGAAATGAAGAAGTAGCTGTGATCATAACCTTCACGTTTTTTATAGATCAATTGCAAATGATCGTTTTCAGCGGCGGCGTTCAACAGATTTTCAGGTAATAGCTGTTTCTCTTTTAAGAAATTGTCATCTGAGCCTTGATCGATTAATATTTCCAATGGTGTACCAGCATATTTGGTAGCTAACACAGTAGCATCCCAATCTTTCCAAGCCTCTTCGTTTGCACCTAAATAACCTGTGAACGCCTTTTTACCCCATGGACATTCAATTGGATTTGATATGGGTGCAAATGCAGACACTGACTGGTAAACACCTGGATTCTTCAAAGCACATATTAAAGCACCATGGCCACCCATGCTGTGTCCGAATATACCACGTTTGTTAGGTAGTACCGGCAAACTGGCATTCACTATTTCAACTAATTCGCTTGTAACGTAAGTGTACATTTTGTAGTTCTTAGACCATGGTGTTTCTGTAGAGTCAACATAGAAACCGGCACCACTACCAAAATCCCAACTATCATCTTCTCCGGGCAGGTTTAAGCCACGGGGTGAGGTGTCTGGATTAACAACCACAATGCCGTGCTTTGCTGCGTATTGTTGAAAGCCAGACTTTTGAATGAAATTTTCGTGAGTGCAGGTTAGTCCGCTGAGGAAATATAATACAGGGCATTCCATATTTTCGTCCACAGCAAGCGGAGGCATGTAAACGCCAAATTTCATTTCGCATCCCAGAATTTCAGATACATGCGAATAAATCCGCTGTTCTCCACCAAAGCATTTGACGGTCGACAATAATTTCAGCGCCATATTGGGTCCTAAACAAATTAGAAGTTTTAAATATCAAAAAGTATTTAAATGACATTTCTTATCAGATTATGAACCGACCTCCTTGCGTTCTGTAAAATCTATTAAAGACATTATTGGTGGTGAATCGCATTTGATTGCCGGTTAAATGAACCAAAATGAATATTGCAAATGAATTATGGCAAATGTCGTGTTGCCTGGATTTCGTTTAAAAAATCGTTTAAGAGTTTTATAATAATTTATTTGACTGGACGTTTTTTACTAATTTTGGCTAAACAATGTAACGTTATAAAACCTTAAATAAAAGTCTTATCGCCATTTCAACAAAAACAATTAGTTATAAATCTAACTGTTCCTTCAAACATTGTTGAATGCAACTCTGAGATGAACATGCTGCACAATAGTCATAAAGTGTGGCATCACTTATTAGCGGGTAAACAGCTGATTTTCGCGCTAACTGAAACGTTTTGTAAATAACAACAACTGGAGCCATTGAGTTAAATATAAATAAAACGCTTTGGTCAACATAATTTTATTGCAATATTTTTCTTGTTATTTGAATAATTTATAATATCTTCACCATGTCCGAGGATGCTAGCACGTCTTCATTTGGATTTAAGAAACGAAATATTAGGAAACCAGCCACCATACGTCGCAAACAAAGTAGTTCCGAATCAGGTAATAAGCTATATATTGTACTTTTCTAAATTTGTAATGAAATTTCTTACTGCATAAATTGCAGAGAAGAATAGCGATGGCGAAACTACCTCAGCTGTTGTGCGTAGTGATAATTCACGTAAACGGTCAAATCCCAATTTTCAAAGTACCAAACAATTGATCCACAAGAGGGAACGCAAAACTGAGGCTTCCTCGGAAAGTGGGAATGAAGAAGAAGATAACAAAATTGGTGTATCCTATAAGTCCAAACGAAGTGCCTTGCCAAGTGGTCCCCAAGATCAGGGGGCCACTTCTATAAATGAAACAGACACAGCACAGGATCGTGATGCACAAGCTTTGCATGAGAAAATGTTGAAAATTAATAAAGAACTTGAAGGCAAAGCAGATGATAAAGTCTATCGCGGTCTTAATAACTATGCGCAATACTATAAAAAAGAAGGTACAGCACAAGGAAATGCCAGTTCAGGAATGGTTAGGAAAGGACCGATTCGTGCACCAGCGCATTTGCGTGCCACTGTGCGGTGGGACTATCAGCCGGATATATGTAAAGATTATAAAGAGACCGGTTATTGCGGTTTCGGCGATAGTTGTAAATTTTTGCATGATCGAAGTGATTATAAAGCTGGTTGGCAATTGGAACTCGATCATGCTGCACAGCAACGTGGTGAAGCGGAGTCCGATGAGGACGATGCGAAATATGAAATACATTCAGATGAGGAAACGTTGCCGTTTAAATGTTTCATATGTCGAAATAGCTTCGAAAATCCAGTGGTGACAAAGTAAGTGTAATTTGCGCACATATCCATGTGGAGAAAATTTACTATAAAATATTTGTACTTTTAGGTGCAAGCATTATTTTTGCGAAAAATGTGCTTTGGAAAATTATAAAAAGTCTCAACGGTGCATAATTTGTTCACAACAGACAAATGGTATTTTTAATCCTGCGAAGGAGCTAATAGCGCGTTTTAAGAATGAACCTGAAACTGGGAAATGCGTTTCATCTGACAGTGATTAGCCTTAAGAAACTCCGTAGTTAACATACATATACATATATTAAGTTGTAAGTGTATAAAGTTGTCATTGGAAATTACAAGCTTGCTTTGATTTTTTATACTCTGTGGCAAAATAAGCAGTAATAATTTTTAAAAGTTTTAATTAAACTTCATAACAAAAATAATTATAGTAATTTTACAAGTTCAAACTTTTGCATGCACAGAACGTTGTCTATCGGGCAAATGGAAAAGGCTATATATAGAAAATATGCCAGCTGCGCACTACAAACGATTACCAAGGTATCGGCAGAACACCTGTCCGCATATATGTAAGTATCTATGTGTTTCTCCTTTGCTTTAATACTACATATTTAAAATACATTTGTAATTAAGCGTGAACTTACATACATACATATATGAACGTGTAAAAATATTATAATTTTTATGAATATTTATATTAGCGTTTATAACCTCATTTACTCACACTGAATATGCCACCTATTATTGAATTTAAAAGCAAAAGCCTTTATTTTTTTAAAATTCTCCCAAAATTAAATATGAAAGCCATAACTGAAATTCATTACTCTCCACCAAGCTAAAAATATGGAGTAAAAAGTATTCTACAATATCAATCCTCTAGGTCAGGGTTGTTGCCACATACATATTATATAATACATTCATAGATTTACGTATGTATGTACAATTAGTAGAGTTTCAAATATACATACATACATATACATATGTATTTGTATGAATGTGTTACATCAGGTCAGAGCAAAAGTGGATGCCAAGCAGCATGAAGCATGCACGTATTGCCAACATTCGAAGTAGACAAATAGACAGATGCCAAGTCAAATAAGTGATTCCGGCACACAAGCAACGGAGAAGTCAAAAAAAAGCCATCCAATATTGGATATTAGCTAGTAAGGCAATAACGAAGAATTGCAGTTGCTGTTATCGATACGCAGCATGCGTACACATACACGCACACCCAATGAAATCCTATAAGCTTGGTGCATTGATGAAGTATATAGTATTTTTGTGCGTTTGCAAGTTGATGGCTGTAAGGCACATCCTTTATGCTTACGATACATAATAGCACAGGCGATGGCATTCGTTGGAACATCAACGAAATCTATGCAAGTGAAAAGAAAGTGTGCTCTCCAAACTGTGACGCAAATTATGCTTTTTATACCTCGAACAGTGTATATTAAGTTTGTCATAAAGTTGGTTATACCCGAAAGGGAAAGTTGGAAATCCTGTAAAGTATACATATACATATGTACATCTATTACCAGCGTGACGATCTGAGTCGATTTAGCCATGTCCGAAACTGAATGATCAAAAATCAAAAGTAATCGATACTGACCCGGATTTTTGTCCGACCAAGGACTGCCAACTCGGCGCCATTACTTGAAATTATTACAGGAATGTATTCTACAACAACAGCAACATAAGCAATGATCAAAATAAAGTAAAAAGTTCCCACGACAGTCGGGTCTACGAAAACCGGAACGGACCAGGATTTTTATCCGGCCTAGGACTGTCAACTCGGCAGAATTTCTGCCGTTACAACAACAACAACAACATCAAAATAAAGTAAAAAGCTCCCACGACAGTCGGGTCTACGAAAACCGGAACGGACCCGGATTTTTATCCGGCCAAGGACTGTCAACTCGGCAGAATTCTGCCGTTACAACAACAACAACAACATCAAAATAAAGTAAAAAGCTCCCACGACAGTCGGGTCTACGAAAACCGGAACGGACCAGGATTTTTATCCGGCCTAGGACTGTCAACTCGGCAGAATTTGTGCCGTTACAACAACAACAACAACATCAAAATAAAGTAAAGTGCCGTTCCTACGACAGTCGGGTCTACGAAAACCGGAACGGACCAGGATTTTTATCCCGCCAAAGACTGTCAACTTTCACTCAGAATTTCTGCCGTTACAACAACAACAACATCAAAATAAAGTTATTTTATGAATTATTTTATTTGGATTACTGTCGAAGTCAACGCTATATTATCACGATAAAACTTTCGGATCGGACTACTATAGTATATACATATGTACATACATTACTGTCATGCAGACCGACCGATTAAAATCAAGTTATTCTGAAAAATATTTGTTTTTTATTAGAGAAGGGTATTCAAGCTTCGCGGCAAGTGAAGTTAGCATATATTTCTTATTTTTGTTGTCTTTGGAAAAATAAACTAAACAAAGTTTTCGGGTGACACTAGTCTGTGCTTTATCGATATTAATGTCACCCTAGTTTAAAAATGACTTACGTACCATTAGTAATATATAACATTAGCATTTTTTTTAAATCCAAATGCATTTACTATTTACTTTTCGTTACAGTATTCTTATAAAAGCTCGAATCAATGCGGAAATCTGCCACCTTGTGACATTGTACGTCAACGTTTGATTGGCTGCTAGCTAAGCTAGAGCGACAAAAATCTTTAAAGATTATATCGACGGATAAATAGTTGCCTTCGAGTCATGCTTCATTGCTTTTCTTGTTTCCGCTTTTGTGTTTTATTCTGTTTTTGCTAAGTCTTACGTTGTTGCGCTGCTGGCAAACATTACTTTTATCCAATATATCTGCAGCGCTTTGGTAACTTCTTGGTATTTGCTACTATTCCAGGGTTATAATAAAGTTTTTTTGTTGAAATATAAGCAAGGGAACTGATAACTTTTGTATAAGTATATAAATGTTCTGTTCAGTGCTTTCGATTTGGCAGGACCTTCTTGCCTGCAAAAGACTGGCTACAAAACGTCAAAGAGATATCTCTTTGTATATACCCTCTGCTTCGAATCGGACTAATATTTCGGGTTTCATACTTTTGCATTGGGTTGAACTTTGGGCTGGTGGTCAAAGTATTCCGTCACTTTATGATTATGTGGGAGTAACACCCTGCAGAAATGTCTGGCGGGTTAATGCTGAGACTGTCACCGTCTTCCTTTCCCGTTGTCATTAAGTTTAATTAATCTGCAGCATGCGAAGGCGGTATGTACCCGGGGTCTAAGAGCCGTGACTAAGTTGTAGTGGTATCTCTGGACTAAAGACGAGAAGCCATAAGCTGCTGGTGGGCAACATAACATGTAGGATCAGCGCTTGTTTGCTAGTCCGAAGTGAAATAAAAGTTTGCATCTTATCAGATACGAACACGGCACCAGAGAACTTCGGCTATAAGATTCTGGGGAAGGAAAGTCAGCGTCATTATTGGCTCGGATACGAACTCAAGGCACACTGTCTAGAGAAACCCGGACATCAACACTAAGGCTGAATCACTTTTTGAGTTCATCTGTAGTGAAGATCTATTTATTGATAACAGAAAAAACTCCCCCATTTTTGTAAATCCTTGACCCCATTAGGCATCAAGTAAAATGAGTTCCCTTAATCTGGGGATGAAGGATTCTAGGTGACAATTCCTTCTCAAGTCACAGGTATATTCGTTTTAACCTGGCCAGAAAAGGTTTTGTTAGTGTACCTTATAGGAACTTTAGGAAGACTAATTTGGACTGCAAGAAACTTCGATCAGCTCTTCTTGTCGCGCCCGGTCGAGTCTCTATGCTAAAAGCGCGTTGAGGTTTTCAGTTCTGTATGTAGATCTGGCTTTGAAAGCTCTTGTCCACTGAAAACTCAGAAAGGAAAGGGAAACCCCTTTGGTGGGCACCGAAGCTACCGGAACTCAAATATTCAAGCAGAATACTGTATAATAAGACCCACAGTCAGTTTCCAGTAATTCCGCTATGACCAGGCAAACGAAACGAATCTGATAAAGAAAAAGCTCGATATTATTTCAACTGAGGGCAGAAACTCCCTGATCAACTATTCGCGCACAGTTAGCGTTCATGTAGGTAAGTGAGTAGAAAGCAGTTGAAAGAGGAGAGAATTTTACTGAGTTCCAGTTTGGATTCGTAGTACATACGAAGAGCGTTCTTCGAAAAAATGCACTTGCCGGCATTATTCTTTTATTTATACAGCTTTCAATGCGCCGAAAACACGAATGAGAGCCGCTCTTATAGTTTCTTGTTGAGCGTAGCTCTTTTGTGCGCCACATAATAGGCGAGTACATCACAAAACATTATTGGCTTGACAACGGTTTCGTAGAGCAAAAACACGACTCTATAGCTCTACTACTACGGAATGGCATTCAATGCCTTTCTTCTTAATATTTTGTCTCCGTAAAAAATTTCTACCAATGATAAGACCTAGGTATTTCACCTTATCAACTGGTTGAAGGCGAGAGCCTCCGCATGAGAAAAGAGGCACGTCTGAGATTTTATAACTCCTTGTAAATACGGGATGTCAGGTTTACGTGGGTTGGCGGTTAGGCCGCTTCTATTCGCCCAGTTGGATGCCATCTAGAGGTACTATTCAGTTAGTCCATAGACGGTAATAAGAAAGTCGGTAATTATAGCAACGTTGTCAGCCTAAACTATCATGATTTTAGTTCCATGTTAGTGTGAAAGCAAACTGTGAGAGCTAGCCAAAGATTTGGATTTGTTAATTGTTGTCATTGTTTATTTGTGCTTTCGTTTAATAAATTAATAAAAATATTTAGATTTATCCACCGGTCTTTGTCCGTTTAGTTATGTGTGTATAAGCATCTGCAAACAACAAACAAAGAAAATGCTTAAATATTATATGTAATGAACAGCGCTCTTTGCTCTCAACGCTTGTATACTTAAGAAATGTCGCCACACGAACCTAAAGAAAAGAGAAGAAATGAAAAGAAAAGAAGGAAATCAACTGAAAATTGGACATTAGCCAAATTGTTGTGTGCAAACTTTGTCGCAAAACTTATTCAACGCCACCAACACTATGTAATAACGACATTTGCCACAACTACAAAGGCAAAACACTTAAACAAACTTAACGAAAAGCAACAACACGACTTGAGCTCAGTCTGTGAAACATAAAAACCGTTTAGAAACACATACAAAGCCGCCAGCAAGCAATGAGCAATAGGATTAAGCAGCAACAATGCGGTAAAAATATTTATATCAAAAATGTCAAAAACGAAGAGAAGTCAGTGTGACACAACATTACCGCCAACAGCGCCACAGTCAGTCGTTTATGAG